GTTTGTAAACTCAATTAATTGCTGTTACAATTATGAATAATTATGTTTACAGTTAGTTAAGTGAATGTATCACAACTAAAGTAATGATTGTATTTATTACATTGATGAGTTGTAACCAAACATTATGTGTATTTATATTATACGGTCAGTTTGTGTAGGTGGGTTTATGGATATGTTATCATATTTTATTAAGTATTATTGTTAGATGTACACTATTTTGTTTATGTAATATGTAAATAAATATGAAATAGTGGAAATTTAAACAAACATGTTTTTATTTGTTATATTTATTAATGATTACGTATTCATCGTAACTATTTGATTATGCAAATAAAAAACAAGTTAATCTAAAGTAAGAATTGGCTGAACCTTTATTTATGATAAATGATGATACATTATAAAGGTTACTATTAAACTCTTCATACCTTCCCCTTCAATATAAGTGAATGGTTTGAAAGCGTAAATTATTTGTGTTTAATATACGTATGAATCACAAATTTTATTAAACCCTACCACTCATATTAGTACACAGTATATATGAATAAAATATAATTTTTAATCCTAGAAGTAATCCTAGTTTCTTACTTATCTAAAGCTTAAAGTAAAAGTATGATTATTAGCCTTTATAATTTTAGGTTACTTTCATACATCTTCATATGATTCACCGTATAGTATTCAATTTATTCAAACATTACAACTTATGTTAAATTATAAATTGCAAATTAATAATATAATTTTAACATTTTTATACATAAATTTTTTGTACAAGTTTAAACAAAATGTCAATAATTAGATCAACAATAAACTCTACATTTAAACAAATTAATTTTATTCAATATGGAGACAAATAGTTTACATGGATTTATAGCTTAATAAATAAAGTAGCATTTCCATATCTTATTTAATTAAACTTAGTCATTACTGTTACTACTGTTCTCCACTGTTTACAACAAATTAAATTAATAATTATTGTATTTTATAATTAAATTTATTAAAATATTATTTAAAATAAAAATATTGTATTATGTTGTAATTTTTAGAATTTTGTAAACCATAAATTATTAAAATTATCCACATGCTTTTACATATTTGAATTCGTTTTTTTTACTATAATATAACATTTTTATGTAAAACAACTCTATGTAGCATTTCTTTATATTATTTATATTACAATAAAAATTTAATTATTACGGATAGGTCGATCAAATAACAATATACCGGTGTCTAGTGTGCAGTGAGCGCCGCACTTGGGTCCGGTCACGTGGGCGTCAATATATATTATGGTGAATTCCGTGGCGCCATTAACTCCGGCGCACGCGTACTGATCGTCAGTTACATAAACGTTGGCCGAGAAAAACGTGTCGCCTGCGCACTGACCCTCCGTAATTAATCCAGAATTGACCTCGATTATATTGCCTAATATTAAACGTGAATTATTATAAATATGACAAATATTATATAGTTGTAAACGTTTACTGTCATTACTATTTACAATATCAATTTTCAAAATTATACTACTTATAAAAATTAAACTGTAAGAAATTTATTTAATAAGCGTTTAAATTTTAAGCTGATTGAATTTTATTGTGTTTAATTTACCATTTTTACCAAAAACTGTATAATGGACAAGTATTTGAATACCATGTAAGATTGTATCTTGAGATAATATAAATTGTAATATAATGTAATTTAACTTACCATTTAAAATATTAAAATAGACATCTATGGTAGCAAACCCCATTTGTTCCAGTTGACCATCCACCAAAATGTCATAGGCGACATTGTGCAACACCAAAGACTGGTAGCCGTTACACGTGAACTCAAATGGCATGGTGACATTTCTAAGTTGTATGTACTCGACCTGCGACCCTGTACATTTCATCGATTTCCATGCTGTGACATTAGTGTATGTGTAAGGCGTAATTGCTACAATTAATTACATAGTTAGTAATTTGATTTGATTTTTTATTGAAAATTATTATTGTGCATTATAATTCATTATAATTTTTACCATATTTTTCTCCGGGTTTTGGTAGACCAGCCGATGTAAGGTAACCAGGGCGACATGTCTCTGTGTATTATTGTTACAAGTTAAATTATCTAACAATATATAGAGTTATTGTTTTAATAGATACCATGCGAGTTAATAAGATTTAAGTCAATAATTAAATAAAAGCATAATAAGAGTTTAAAATAAATCATTATATATTTGTATAATTGCTGTAAATAATTAAACTAGAATTAATACTATTTATAAAATATATTGTATTGTTACAATGGTATTTTATTATAAAATTTGTATGTTTTAGAATTTTTTAATGTTAATTTTATACTGAAAAATATTACCAAAAATTCATTATAAATTTGATTATTCAAAGAAAAGCAGATTGCTGTATTCATTTGATTTATTAATCAAACATATTGTAATAATTATAAATAATCTGACTTCAAGATAAATATACATTACATTACATTAAATGTACATTACAACCAAAAGTTACATAAAATTATTAACAAAAAGTAATAAAACTACAAAACATTATAAATAAAACGGTAATGTCTAAATTGATTGTAATAGAATCTATCTAATGATTAGATGTAATCTATTAAATAGATACAATAATTGCATGTGGAGTAATCACTGTCCATATCCCAGATCCTATGTCCACAAATCTCGTTTTATGAGTTGGGGTAAATTGTATTAACAGTTACATAACATACTGTACAAATATAATAAACATACAAATATTATACTAGTTTTAGAAATGGTTATCAAACATTTGGAACATGTCAATCTTCAGTATTAATTCTGATTTATTTTACATTTATTATTATACTTTATTATGGTTATAAATATTGATACAATGTTAACAATTAAATTTATAATATAAAATGTATTATTAATATTAAATATTAATATATTTAAAAATGTTGTAGCACATATTTTAACTCATTTTCTCTAATATTATTTACGTAATCCGCATCCATGTATATTCTTGATTTTATTTTTAAACAATAATATTACTTAATAAATGCGCAAATAAAATAATGCGTTAAGCATGATTACCTAAAATATTCATAAAGGTATTAATAAAAATAAATAAATTATTTTAATTAATACAACTCACTTCATATCCGCGAAATCGGTTTATAATAAATAGTTTCCAACAATAAAACCCTATTTTATGGCAACCAATCCTTTCCACTATATTTGATAACTAGTGTCAAAAATACATTAGAGAGAGAGAGAGA